ACTGATCTCTGTGATAGGGTGTTTAGACAGTTGCCTTTGTTTAGTGGTTATATAGTTAAATCACTGTTGCTCATCAGGGCAGGTAATTTTAAATTTAACAGGTGCCTTCACTCACTAGAGATTATAGAGAAATCTCTGGTCTGAGGGAGCAGGGTTTGACTGAGGTGTTAAAGACTGTTTTTAGGGTGGGAGGGACTTATTAGAAAAAGGTGCCTCTTGTCTAACTATTGGAATCGAACTACCAAAAAGTTCATTTAAAGACTTTTTGGCTGCAAGAATCTCATTTTGCATTTTTGGACTCTGGCTGTATTAAGCCTTTATTCCTTTTTTGGTTTGGCTTTGGCTTTGCTTTTTGCCATGACCACCAAAGGCCTGATATGATTGCAGCAGCTGTCCAGTGAGTAGGGTGAGTGAACCAGATTCTGCCAAGGACTGACAACTGCTTGCATACCTTTACAGGCGTGTACTGTGTTTGTGATACAGAGAATCATATTCATTTTTAGAAAAATTAAATAAGTTCAGTATTTTGTGATATGCTGGCAAAATATGAAGAATGGAATTCTGATCTTAATTTGTAAAATAATATATAATGAGGCTGCCAAGATTTAAACTTCATTACTAGTATTCAAAGCATATGAGATTTTTGAATGTACTGTGTAATATGTAGTGAAATTTCATTTTTCATAATATTTTACCGCTTTTTGGCACAGTGAAATCTGATACTTTGCTGCACCTTGTTCTAATTGTTGAAATTAGGCAAGGGTTAAACTTTTCAAAAGTGCCTGATTACATTACTTTTTTGAAAAAGTGACAAAGCCAATTAAGCATGTTGGAAATTTTACAGAACTACAAGTGATTGTTGGGGTCAGAAAACTTAACACCTGCTTCTTAGTACATAAGAGCTGGGAATTTAAAATAATAGAATTGTAGTTTACTCCACTTTAGAAATTGATTTTGGAAATGAATGGGTGTATGTAGGTTGGCACCATGCCTGTAAAAGATATTTTTAATAAGGAAATAACTCATGGAAATGTTTTATAAAGCACCATTGTTTTGAATTACAGTAGCACATTTTATAGTTGATTGATATTGATGGATAAATATTGTGTTTTTATAAGCTTCATACAATATGCACATCAATTTTTTCTCAACCTGAATTTCTAAAAGGAATGTAGCATTCTCTACTGGCTTTTAATTGAAAGCAAACTTTTATTGACTGGATTTAAAATAATATAGTCTTTTGCAACTGTTGTTTCTGTGTTATCGCGCAAGACATGGTTTTTATATTATTTTAGTATAAAGGAAGGGAATCGTCTCTTCTTTTCTGCCCTTTCCCCTTCTGATATGGAGTTTCCAGAGTTTTAGCAGGAATGTTATTATATAGAGTAGTTCTATTATCACTTTAAGATTCAAGCAGTAGATTTCTCCATGGTATTGGCACAAGCATGAATGACAAGAATTTTAGTAGGTCTCAGTTTGCCACTCTTTGGATGCAGGGGAAAAAATAAGGTGGCATTGGAAAAATGTGATGCGGGAAATTGTTGTGCTGCTGCATAAAGTTTATTCATGTACAGTATAACACTAGCTAATGGGAAATAAAGGGAGATGACAGTCACCAAGACATTTGGTATGACTCAGCACTGCTTAGGAGTAGCAAAGAGATCTTTGCAGCCTTTGGAAGTGGAGTAATTATTCTGGAGTAAAGTCACTTTGGATACATCTACATTGCAATAAAAAACCCATGGCACCAATTCTCAGAGCTAAAAATTGGGGTGTAGACTTTTGGACTTGGGCTGGAGCCCAGGCTCGCACGCCCTTCCCCCTTGTTGGGGTCTCAGAGCCCAGGCTCCAGCCTGAGCACCAACACCTACACAGTTTTTAGCCCCCTCAGTCCAAGCCCTGCAAGCCAGAGTCAATTGACCCAGGCCAGGTCTTTTATTGCGGTGTAGACATACCCTTTGATTTCACAGTTGTGTCCATCTGGGTGAGTTATGTCAGCATAGCTATAGCAGAATAATTTTTAACTTTGTTTAATTAAATTGGTTTTGTGTTATTGATACTGCTGCACCATGTGTGCTGAGATTATAGTTTTGAGTTTGAGGATTTTCACTGGTGAATAAATGCTGGTACATATTAAGCATTGTGCTTCCTCTCTTGCTTCATGTTCTTTTTCTTTCAAGTTAATCGAAAACTTGGAGATCCATTTGAGGAATTTAGGAGATGCAGCGTGCACCTTTGCTATACCTCCTGAAAATTAAAAGATGGGATGTGACGGGGGGCCCTGTTTGTTGAGGGGGGCCGCCCCCGTTGGCCCTGTGCAGGGTTGGTACACCCCATCACACTGTCATCTGGACTCCTTGAGGGATGGTCCTCAGTGTGATCGCAGGACCCCTGGCAAGGCAGAGCAAACAAAACAGTCTATGTCCCCTGAGCCTCCTGGCTGTAGCAGGCAAACAGCCACTGGGGGTTCTGACTCTCTGTGTGGGGCAGAGCAAACATACAGTAGCCACCCTCTAGTGGCAAGGGGGGGTAGGGGAATCAGGGCCCACTCCGCTCCACTAGGTTCTGACTCAGAGCACTACGAAGCTGGGAAATTCCCCATTATGGGATTAAGCATCGGCTTCTACTACATTCCCTGGGTCACTTCCTACCACGAGCTGCATCTTGTCATCTCCCTGGCTGGCAGTGGCTCAGCATCCCTGTTGATCTCTCTGGTCATTTGGTTGCTCACAGCTTATTCTGAGTCTATGGTTCCCACCGCTTGGGGAGTCTCTGATTCCTCTGCCAGAGCTTGCGACTTGTGTCCTTCCTCCTCAACCAGCCCAGACTGAGATGGGATGTCTCCTTTTATCTGTCCTTTCCACCAGGAGCATGCACAGCAGGAGTGAGGGGGCATGGTCTCCTGGGCCCACAGTGATTCGTCTGTTCCCGTTGGCTCAGTATGGGGTTGGGGCACTTGTTCACAATTTGTTCAATGATTTGGAGTCTATATATGTGCACTGTGGAGAATCCTTAATTCTCCATTTGTGCATCAGGTGTGATCGTTTTCCATGTAATGTTCTGATACAGTTTATGGTTGTCCACAGTCTCCGGTGGAGCAAGAAACCAGGCAGTTCTACTTTGGCTTAATCTGTGAGGTGCTTGTTGTTTACTTCAGAGCCTGCCCATTGCATCCACCAGGTGTCTCCTGGGTTGAAGCTGGGTGACAGAAGAGCTTCTCCAGCTGCCCAGAATGGTTGGCAAGACTTAAGGAGAATACAAGGTGAATGAATGAGGTTGTCATTCAGTGGGAGATTTTGGTTAGTGAGAGCTTTCTTATACTCTCGCAATGTTCCTATCTCTCACCGGATGGTTGGAAGAAGGATGTTTGTGAGGGTTGGAAGCCATCAGAGTGCAAGTTACAAGTCCTAGAGCCGCAATTATATGGCTATCAACAAGTTTCTGAGCGAACTTCTACTAAAGACAGCGTTGCTGTTCATAGTATTCAGTCATCACAACCCCAGCTACAACTGACTAGCTTTTGGGTGATATTGATGCAACTCTTTGTTTTATGGCTCACCTGCTTCAGATGTTGACAGGTAAGACTGTGATCGAGTGTGACCCCTAGGTAGTGGGAATTAGGATCATGGGCAATTTTCTTGCTGCAGAAGTTTACAGTAAGCATCCTCTTAGCTTCAGAATTGCTGAGATGGAAAGCTGATGACATCAGTTTTGGTGGATTGGGTTTGAGCTGCCAGTACCGAATTTTCCATCCTCTTCAGATCAATATTAAAGGTGTCTTCTGCTTCTTTGAATACTGCGGCCTGTGTCATTAGTGCCAGGTTGTCAGTATAAATTAACTTGCAACATTTCATTTTGGGTCGACATCGTGTGTGTGTGTGTGTGTGTGTGTGTGTGTGTTTTTAAAACGGATGGTGGTAGTACTGATCCCTATTTGAGAGGTCATTGTGCAGACTCTGCTTTTTGCTAACCTAACTTCCAAGGTGGCACGTAAGGTTCTTTCCAAAAGCATTGACCTAGTGAGTCAAAATGTCTGGTCACACAGAAGCAGGTTGGATAGTTTCAGCAGTAGGCCCTTGTGCCAGACAGTGTTATAGGCTGATGACCAGTCGATAAAAACTGCGCCCTTTTCAAGCTTCCATTGAAAGCTGGCCTCAATATGCAGTCAGTACAAGCACTTGGTCTAAAACCTGTTGAGGGGTTGTGGTCTCCACGATGATGGTCAGCCTCACCAGGCTTGCCCGCTCCAGTACTTTGTATGTTGTACAGAGGAGGGAAATAAGGTGGTAGCTTGTGGCTCATTGGGCACCTTTTCTGGTTTGAAAAGTGCGATGATCTTTGATCATCTCTAAGATGTTGAGAATTGGCTGGTGTTGATGAGTTCTGTGGATACTGCTGCCTTCTAGTCGTGCCCTTTTGGTCTGAGATATTCAAGGAAGTCTGGAAGAACGCCATCAGTGCCAGCTGCTTTTCCTGCTTTGGTGGTAGAAATGGCAGCATCAATCTTGGCTCTTGTAAAGGATTGACAGAGACTTGTAGAAGGGGCGCGTTGTGTGCAGGATTCTTTAAGAGCTATTTCTCCTCTCAGTTCATTTGTTGGCTTACAGACATCTTAGAATTTCTTAGTAGGAGGCTGGCAGTGCTGTTAGCAGAGACTTGAAATGTATGTGGGTTTGATGGTGCCGCTCCACCTCCACAGACTGGCCCATGCTATTTGTGAAGTCTGTGGCCTCCATCATCTCTGTCCATCATTGTCATGTAGAAATCCATGATTCCAAGAGAACAGTGGCTACGTTTGGGTCACCAGAAGCTTCATACTCCCTTAGGAGAGTTTTGCTGTCTGGTCTCCAGCATGGCATAAAGAAGTTCCTGTAACCATGGAGGATAGTCTTCGTTGTGGCTTTAATAATAAGCTTTGTGAAGAGGTTGAAGTTTTAAGGCTTTGGAGGTATGCTACTAATGGGGTTTTTTTTTATGGTGGTGGAGAAATCCAGGCAGTCCACCCATCTCTGGTTCCAGCATGGAACTGGTACATTGGTAATGATGATGAGTTCGAGGCCAATTATACCACCACTGGCTTGTGCTGACTGTGTGGGAAGGGGTCCAGGACAGTTCAAAATGCAATGAGTTGTGATCCACTGGAGTCCATAAATCAGGTCTGTGTTCTTTCTTCCATCGGGCTGAGCAGAAGGTTCACTTTTTTTGTTTTGCATCAAAAGGTACTGAGCCAGTGCGCACTCGGTGAGCCATTTGCCTACGCTGTCGTTCATTGAATAGCCCCATGTTGGATGGTGGCAGTTAAAATTGCCAAACTATGCAGATGGGTGTTGTGATTTTGATAGGGTTGGTAAAGGTCACTGCTGATTGGATAGCTTACACATGTTATATATTGTCAGCTCACTGACTTGGATATCAATTGTGAAACTGTCATCTGTTGTTGGTAGTGCATTGGCTATGTTTTTTAATTTTGGCCTGATATAGGTGGCCATTCCGTGTTCTGGATGGTTTTGTTGAGAGAGAAGGATGTATCCATTTTGAGCTGCCTTCTGCAGTGTATGTTTCTTGCAGCACCAGGACGTTGATGATGATGTCTATCAGCAGCCTTGCGATGACATCAACCTTTGAACAAGATAGGCCCTGAACATTAAGTTCTCATAGACAAATGAACTAGCCCATTAGTCAATTAGTGTAGCTCTTGAAAAAGTTGCTATTTTGACTGAGAAGTCAAGAATAATAATCAGTCTACAAAGTGGTGGCATTAGTTCATACACATACATTAAAATGTACTTACCAGGGAAGACCACATGAAGGTTGCCACCATTGCTCCCTTGCTTCATGTAAAGCCCTGGCAAGAAACTGACAGAGAAACTTCACTAAATGTTTATTTTCTTTGTTCCACCATTTGAAACAGATTCTTGTCAGGGGGTATGTATTGAGCCGAGCTGAAGTTGTGATAGAGGTCCATGGAAATGAATAGATAATGCTTCTAATGAAAAGTGCTGTGTTGGCCTGAGGATATACCATAAATGCTAAAGTCAAAACTTATATTGATGTCAGTAATGCAGGATCATGCTCCTAAAGTGCAAATTCATTATCTTCAATTACCCATTTTGAGCCATCAGGATCATAATTCCAGATAGTGTATGATCAACTTTCTTTTCCCTTTGTTTTTTCTCTCTTGCTCATATTAATCAAGGTTATGAGTTTACTTTGGCAGAATATTATGGAACTTTATCTCATAGGACTCTTCTGCAGTTCTGTGTGTTAAGTTTTGGGGAGTGCAGCAGACAATATACGTTGTATTCTGAAAAACTGTTCAGGATATATGCCACGCAGAATGAGATGGTTTCATTGCACCTTTGACATGTACTAAGAGGTGCATTGGGAATTGCTTTACCAGTTCATTAACATGAATAGGAGTTGTGGTCTGTGCTGGAGGAAGGTATGGCTGGAATCTAAATTCTGTGCGCCAAAGCCACACAGCAAGTTAGTGGCTGAGCTAGGGTTATAACTCAGAAGTTCCTGGTTCCTAGTCTCAAACTCGGTTCAGCAGAGCATCCAGTCTTTCCAAGAAAGGACACTGACTGACAGTTCAAGACTGATCTTCTACACATTGGTGATAACAGTGCTTTCCTGTGTGAGAAGTCCCATAGACTTTTAACTTTAGAAGATTGAGCCTTTAGTTTTGAACTGGCAGTGTGTTTTTTCTTGGAAGGCAGCGTGTTCTGGTGGACTAAACACGGGACTGGAATCCAAGAATGTCAGATTTCTAATTCCAGCTCGGTCATTGCCTTGCTGAATTGTTGCCTTGGGCAAGTCACTATAAATCCCATGCCTCGGTTTCCCTATCTGCAAAATGCGGCTGATACAGTGTACAGCACTGTGAAAATAAGTTCAAAAGTATTGTAGATATTACTCTTTCCGCTACACTACGTAGTGGTTTTTCCTTGCCATGACTGATTCCAAGGGCTTGAAATCTTAAGTGAAGATATCCAGAAAAGTCTTGCATGTACAACTGTATTTTTTGTTCTCTTTGGAGTCTTCATCATCATCATCATCACCTTATGTAAGAAAGAAACTAAGTATAAGTAGTTGGTATTGACTTGTTCATATCCTCCAATTTCACACGGGGCCCTCTGAGCATGAATTTTAAAATAGACTTGAACAGTGCATTCAGTAATTTTACCTATGGAATAAAGCTTTCAGATTTTCATAGAAAAAAGTTGTCTATAACAGCAACCTTGCTGCATAGCAAAACTTGGTTTTGCTGTACATGTAGCAGCATAGTGTATTTTCTTAACAGATAAGTAGGAGAGGCTACTTTCATAGGAAACTTATAGACCTGTATGTTGTTTTGTTGGTGGGCACGAGATAGAGGGCTTCTGAGAGCTCGGCCAGAGAGAGAGAGGCAGCTCCAGCCGGTCTCGTTCGCCCGCACTGACTGTAGGGAGTTTGGTCTAGAGCATCCTGCAGGCTTTGACGTCGGTCGGATCCAGGGAGAAAAGGCTGGCATAGAAGGCCCTGGCCCTTCCATGCATCTCCTCCAGATCCGTGAGGGGGGTGCCATCCTCTGCAAGGAGGCAGGTGACATGCTTTTTGGCCCCCCTCTTTTTCTCCAGGGCATAGAAGAAGTGGGAGCTGTGATCCATCTCCCGCAGGAGACGGATGCGGGATCGAACAAAGGCACCCCGGGCAGCTATTCTTTATTACCGTTAAGTCAAATAACCTCTCATTCCCCTTCTGGTTTTTTTGTGAATGAGTGGTATTTGGAAAGAGCTGTATAAGCAATTGTAGTTTTATCCATCTTTCAAAATTTGTGCCAAATTACTAGAAGAGGCAAATCTTTTAAGTCTATAAAGTTAGTAAACTCAGTTGATTATAATAATATATTATAAGCATTTAATAGCAAAATTCAAGATGGAAACTAACCAAATCATACTGAAATGTTGTAATCAAATGTGGATGTTGCAGTGCAATTTAAAGCATGTAAGGAACAGATACTTCCAAGTTGATAGGTGTCTGAAAAATAAATTACATAAATATTTGAAAAAAAAATTGAAATGTTCCTTTGCTCCTCACAGTCTGTTAATTTTAAAGTGGTAAGACCCCAAATTGATGATCAGAAACAGCTTTTAGGATTGCACCTCAAAACATTTGGAGTAAACTATCTGTTCCATTAACACATCTGACTTCAGGCAACTTTCATCTTCTGTGTAAGGACTTGTCAATGTGTAGAAATAACTGACATTGACTGTTGTTTGTCTATTTCGGACTGAATGCCCTGTATTATATTGACATGTTTCTATATTAGAGTATGCTAGTGTAAAATTGAATGTCTGCTACATGCAGAGCACCTTCATGAAAACAAGATGTATTTTAGAAGTTTCTCAATAAATGTCTCAAAACATTGACATTTATTTTATTGCTGGAACTTGCTTTTTTAGCTATCAGACATATTTTATAAAAATATATTTTTTGAAAATAGTCTTACTGATGCTTATTGATATCAGTAAAATAATCAGGGATGCTGTTAGATTTAAGTTTTTATATTCTTGTCATCAACATCTGTTGACCTCCTTACACCAACTGTTTTACTTTCTGACACCCAGGTACCAAAATGAAACAGCTAGCTTTATTTATTTTACTTGTTCACTTCAGAATAGTAGTCTATTATCAGTTGCCATGCAGCTAAGAAGCTCTGTGGAGGAGTGGATAATTTCTAGGGAATAGTATATGCTACTTTTAGAAAATATTTGTCCTATATAGATATTTCTTTGTATAGGTGTTTTTTAAAATGTCCTTCTAATTTCAGGTATTAACTATATTACTATACTGTACCGTATTATTCTGGATCATATGCAAATAATATGTTCAGCAGCAGTTTATTTTTAAGACCTTCATCCTGTATCACTTAAATTCAGAATTAAAAATTCATATCTAATTGTCCTACATCATATGTAAGAAATAAAGCCTTCTATACTGTACCTATCCTGGGCGTAATGAATGGCTGGGAGAAATTACTAGCCAGAGGCCAGTGATCATTTCTCATGGGTTAACCTCCAGAAATGTTATTTCTGTTACTGTCTGAAAAAATAAAATGGGCTTGTGGATCTTTCATGGTTTGGTGTGTACCTTGAATTCATTATAGAGAACTAATAATGAATGTTAAAGGTCTTTAATATCCATCTGCAGCAACCATGTATACTATGACTCCTAAAATATTCAATATTTTGGCAGTTTAACAGTATGGTTGTCTTCCAAATTCTTATTTTAATGAATAAAGCTGAAGTGATATGGAAGGCACACAGTAAAATCATTGCTCTTCCACTTACATATTTAAAATTAAGGATTTGTTGTACATAAATTTGTAGTCATTCTCGGTTTGGGTTTCAAATACGACACCCAAAATAGCCATCAACTGCATGGCAGGTCATAAAAAGCAGCAAAAATATACAAAGTTCCTAAAACATGCACATCACTCAGAAAGTTTTCATTCTACTTTGGCCTCACCTCTCTTTGTCACTGCCTTCTTTTTTGTGAATTTAGGCTGCAAGAGCTGTTGTATTTGTTTGTCATATTTGTTTATAAAGCACCATGCAAGCTTAGGATATTTGAAAATAATAATCTCCTGATTAGTATGTTCTGTTGTTGAAGAGTAGGTGCTTTGGTGATATTATTAGCAGACAGCTCTCTAAATATGTAATGTTCACTTTTGGATGACTTAATGGTATATCTTTTGTTCTAGCAGCTGATGAAATTGAATCTGATGTCAGTGAATGTTATTAACTAATTACTTTTTTTTGGTAGGTTATATTGCAAGGGGATATCATTCTTCGTATGTAAAGAACATCTTCTTGGTCACTGAATTTGGAATGTTACTTTACTTGTGAATCTGATGGAGGAATAGCCAGATCTCAGACTTCTACTCTGGAAGGCTTTACAGGAAATACAAGATGTCGTCGAATAGGAGTCAGAACCCACATGGACTTAAACAGATTGGTCTTGACCAGATATGGGATGACCTTAGAGCTGGAATTCAACAGGTTTATACCAGACAAAGTATGGCAAAATCCAGATATATGGAACTCTACACGTATCCTTATACTTAAAAATAAATAAATAAAAGTTGGTAAATATTTTACTGTCAATTAAGAACTAAAATCACCTTATAACTTAAAGTAAGTTTTTAAAACTTTTGATGGTGTTTTATACTTTTTGTTTTTAAACTTCATTTTTGAAAATGATTAGCCTTTCCTATTTTGTTGTGACAAAAACAAGTAGAAGGACCAGTCACTGGTATAATAAAAATCATGAGTGAATGTGTTTAGCTTGATAAATGCTTGTCTTGAAAATATTTTTTTAATAATTGTACTTATTTTTAAAATGTCAAGTGGAATGCTATTAGTTTTACAAGACAGCAGACACTTAAAGGTGATTTTTAATAGATAATATTTAGTGCACCTTGTAAATATTAAATTATCATTCCTCATTAATGATCAGTACAGTGGAAACATTTTTTCTTTCCCCTTTTCACTTTGACATTTTACTGCAAGGCTTTTTTGTAATGTTCAGTTATCTACTTTAGAGTAGTGGAGGAATTTTCTCTTGCAGTAGGGCTTGTCCAACCATAGGGTTAGCATGTTTCTCTGCAGAATACTGGAGTCAGTTTCAAAGCTTTCAGGCTGGAGTAAGAAATAGCTCTGTGAATTTCTCTTTAGAATTACTGGCTTCCACTAAGATAGCAATTGAAATTTTTGAGCAGCTCCCAGTCTAGTGATTGCTTTAATGTTTAGAAGGATTCTAAAACAGTGTGGTGTTTTTGTTTTCATGTTCATGTTGGCCTAATACTTGGAAGTTATATTCAAGGAAAATGTTCCTGCTCAGAGACTCTTCTGTCAGATCTGTTATTTATGGTGGAGAAAGGCAAAAAGCATCAGGAAGTATATGTCTCCTTTGATATCTTCAGGCCTTTAAGGGAAGAAGTGAGTCTTGTGAACTCCTTGAGAGAGACAGATAATTTTCACAAAAGTCTGGAAAATGCCCTTTCTGCTTTGCAACCACCAGTTCCCTCTTTTTACCCTCATAAGAACCTTGTATTTCTGCAGTAACAAGAAAACACTGTCATGAAGTTTAGAGATAGAATAAAGAAAAATGTTATTTGGAAGTGAATGTGTTCTCTCCTAATTTTTAGTCTAATTCTGTTATACTCCTTTATAAATTAAAATGACCGTTTTAAATGGTTGGTAAGCAGATGGGCATGGTATCTCTCAATTAAGATTTTTAAAATATTCTTGAAACTGTATTGGAGTTTCAGAAATTGTGCATCTGTCAAATTGCAGTCCTATTTGTAGGATTCAGTGTTGTGAATAGACGGGGACTTAATTTCAAAACTTGAAGAAAGTTTGTGTGGAGGATGGATTGACTGAAGGCTGTGTAATGTAAGCAGTTCTCTAGATGTCATAAGAGGGTAGGGTGATGTATGTAATCCATCAAATGTTCTTCAGAGTGTGCTCATAATAATCTTCTGAATTGTGACTTCAGATTCCAAATCAGTGGAAATAACCAATGTATTCTTCGTTGGATTTTTACAGAGTGCTCTTTCGGTAATAGTTGGGAATGTGTTGAATTCTGGACTTAATGCTTCGGGATCTGGTCTTAGAATTTCGAGAGCAGACCAAATAGGTTAACTTTTTTTAGCCCCAGATCTAGATGTGGCAGGCTGTGTGTTGGCTGAACGAGAAAAATCTACAATATTTAAATGAGTGCTAGAAATATTAAGAAAGTGATGTGCAGTAGAACTTACGAGAACACTGAGATTCAACTGTATTCAGTTTCTAGTGTCTAAAAATTTCTTGAAATACATAGACTTGAGATCCTTCTTTTATAAACCTATTACTTGAAGGGAAGGGAGAGAACCAATATGCTGGAAAGGTCTATCTGTGCTTTTACTCTTAGTTTTTTTATTTTTCCAAAGCAAATAAAGTACAAGTAGTACAAAGTAAGTCATACTAGATCAGATATATTTAAAAATACAGTTTGAGGATACTCTTTTCTCTGTTCTATATCTGTATGTCTGGAAATGCTAGGCACCCACTATGTGTTAGTGTTACTGCAGGTTAATGAAACAGACTCACATAAGATATCTGAGATTCTCATAAATGCAAGATCTGAATGATACCCCAGATACCCTCTGAAGGGTAAAGATCCACTAAATTCAGATGTTAGTGCAATTCACTTTTTAACCTCTTTTGTATTACCTTACCTTTTGCCATTTTAAGGTAACATCACGCTGTAGAATAGAGATAAAGTTGTTTATTACTACAGTAGCACTGGTTCGGTATAAAATGGTTTGAGAACAGCTTCAAGCTGTCCCACAGTTTTAAATTTCATTGAGCAAATAAGCATTGTGGGAAAGTTGTATGTTTCAAATGGAAGGTTTTTTTTTTTTATTTCTACAAGATATCATAAGTAGTTTTAAATTAAAAGGTGCTTGGTAAAGTATCAGTCAATTTACTCTTAAAAACACTAAAGAAAACATCCTCTTCTATGGAATAGTTTATGTAGGAAAGGATTACACTTGAGTATATTGCAGATGTTCATATTGTTCATTTGGTCAATCATGCCCATATACAGTGATTATTACTTGGTATAGCGATCCATGTGGTATTAGGATACCAAATGAATAACTTGGTATTAGGATCCATTACTCTTGGAACCACTAAGCAGATCTGAAGAAGAGCTCTGTGTAAAGTCAAAAGCTTCTCTTTCACCAGCAGAAGTTGATCCAATAAAAGATATTACTTCACCCAACTCATCTCTCTAATATCCTAGGAGCTACGTGGCCACAACAGCATTGCTGGCAAAAATGAAAAGTAATTCAGCATTGTTCATTAGAGCAAAGTAGTCTAAGGAACATCAGAATTCACACTTGAATCAGCCTCATTTTTCCATTAATCAAGAAAATCCAATGTGTGCTCCCTTTTTGTCCAGCTCCCCAACCATGATGTAAGTAATGGCACAAACTGGATCTGCAGAGATTTTTCTTTTTTTTTTTCCCCCCTTTCAAAAAGGACTAAAGTTTTTAGAATATCTGCCTTTTACCATTTGTCTAAATTCAGATGGCAGTTTCAAAATGATAGCAGAATTGTATTGCCATAACCTATGTAGTGAAGAGCGTTTGGCTGCCATATACAGTAATAGTACACTTAACTTTCTAGAGTAACAGTATCATCCTGAGCGACTGGGGTGTCAGCTTCTAGGCAGAAGACATGTAGACAGCAACAGTGTGATCTAGTATTCATATACTTAAAAAGACAAGAGATTTGTGTTGTGTTTATAATGTGTTTAGATGATTAAGGGGAAAATAAAATTCCTCTTCGAGTAGTGTCCCTGAGGGTGCTCCACTGCATGTGTACATGTGCCCCTTTGAGATTTTTTCTACTAACAGTGCCCTGTGTCTCTTTGTGTCGGACACAGAGCCTATATAGGGATGCCTGGGCAAACTGCCCCAGTTCCTTCTCTACTGTTTTGGCTTGAGACACCTCTAGGTGCCCACCTTGAGCATGCTTTGGCTAGTTTGTATTCTTGTTATGGTGGTTTGTTAAGATTAGTTAGTTGTTAGTAGTACTGAGATGATAGGGTTTTGGGGTGGGGTTTTTTCCTTCCTCTCTCTTTCTCATTGGGGAGCATTGTCTTTCTGGTAGGGTATGCCTGGCTTGCCAGGCTTCAAACGCTGCCACTCTTGCTGAGAAACTACACTTGTGAGTGATGGCCAGTCTAAGTGAGTCTGTTGATTGGGGAGTCCCATGTCTCCAAAAGTGCAATTTCTGCCTAGCCCTCAAATTGAGGGCATGAAATAATAGGGAGACTAAGCTCAGACTGTTAATGATGGTGTGCTCACTTTAACCAGCATCTGACTTAGGTAACGAACCTCGGCCCCATCCCTTACGTTTGTCTCTGGACTGATCCAGCTTTCCTTCCACCTTGGTGCAGGCTTCCCCTAAGAAGGAGAGGTCACTGGAGGCTTCTGAGAAGGCTTCCTGAAAGAGGAGTATGGATTATCATCTGAAGGAGCCTGCTCTGAAAAAGCCCAGTTCCCCTGCAAAATCTGTGGTCTCCAAAGCCTCGACCTCTCAGCTCAGTACTGTTGAGTCAAAGGATTTCTCCGGTACAGGCAGAAATGGAAAGCCCCGAACTTGAGGGAGAGACAAGGCTCTGACAGGACTTCAGTATGCTCTACTAGGGACAAAGAGGGCAAGCATAAGCACCCCGGTCCAGTACTGTCAGGCTCAGTCCCACCATCGGTACCTACCCGTTCAACACTTTAGGTACCAAGCAAGCAACAGCGCCCGATTCCATTAGTGCCTACATTATGCCCACCACGATGGTATTGTCAGTATCGGCTACTGCATCCTCAGCTACCGCATCGGTACTGATTCCCTACTCAGTACTGCAAAAGGTTAGCTATACGAGGGACCAGTCTTTATTGGATGAGTCAGAATCCTTGCACCTCATGGGTACCAAAAGACACTCGGTACCCAAGAGCTTGGTCGCCAGACTGCTACCTTCCCAAAGTACCGCAGGACTCTACACCTTTTTGTATATGGGCTCCTTCATTGGACGACGTGGAGGAGGATGAAGGGACCTTCCAGTTGGCCTTTTCTGTTTCAGTCTCACATTCCCCAACATATCCTGTCAGGAACCCATTCTTTGACAGTCCGAGGAAAGATAGCAACCATCATCAAAAGTGGAACCAACCCTGCATGCCATCCTCGCTCCCATATGCCACATCTCCCCCTCTCAGTGGCCATACTGGGATCCCTGGACTGCTTATTGACAGCAATTCTCCAGACCACCACCATCTCAAAGGGATATTAGGGTTGTTCAGCCCTCTCCCTCTCACAGCAGGAGATGTTTGAGGAACAGGAGGCCAGGCCACTCTTAAAACATTCATTTGTCCTCATCTCCAGATGATGCAGTTATGCCCCCTCCACCTTCTGTGACCGACAGTTTTTGGCAATTTCAAGATCTCATGTAGAGGGTAGCTGACACTCTTCAAATTCCACTCAAAAAGGTCAGGGATTCACAATGCAA